GCTCCCCATAAGGGTTGGTTGAGATCTCTGCTGAGATTGCTTGGCAGCCCTTCTCCCTCTAACCAATCCCACTTTCTTCCCTGCCGCCCAAGCTTGAGACCCCTCCCCAGTAAGCTTCCTGCACTCCCATCTACATTTCAGAGTTGGCTTCCCCAGAACCCGACCTGCAACATTATCTCATATACCATATACGGCATGTCTGAGTGCAGAGATTCCAAGCAGCTGTCTGGAGCAGTGACAACCCCCCATCACCACTCCCAGCCTCTGCCCCACATCCTGCTGTGCTTCTTGGTCAGTTGGAGCACAGACCCCTTCAGGAGCCTCCCAGGCTTCTGGCCCGCAGTGATGCTCGTTGGCATGAAGAGGCAGCCCTTTGGCCGTACTAGGAGTGCCAGATGTCACTCATCACCCTTGTCCCCTGCAGGGCCATGGGGCAGGCAGACAGACCCAAGGTGCATAGACAGCTTCCAGGGAGCCCCGGTAGAAGCTAGAGACCCTGACCTGAGGGATCTGGTCGCTCCAGGCAGGCCATGTCTGCTTGTCCCCAGGACTGAAGGAATCAGTATTTCCTGGAACAGCGCTGACGTATTTGTGCCACCTGAAGCTCTGAGCCTATCAGCCTCATGATCTGTGAGATGTTTCTTCTTTATGTCTCTTTTGAGGAGCAGACGTGTTCACAGCCATCCCGCTGCAGCATTGCTTGATGTAAAGGGAGGATGTTTCCCTGAATACCCTCTATACAGTGTCGAACACTTGGTGGCCATCTGCCCAACAGATCAACAGCAACATACCATCCAAACATAGGACCAGATAAGAATGCATTGTGTAGACCAACACCGTCCAATAGAACTTTCTGCAATGAGGGAAATGTTAGGTATCTGCACCGTCCATTCCCACAGCCCTGGGGCTATTGAGTGCTGAAATTGTGGCGAGTGCAGTTGAAGAGCTTAATGTTTACTTTTATTTAATTTTAATGAATTTTAATGTAAATAGTCACATGCAGCCACCTTACCGAACAGCACAGATGTAGACCCAAGACTTGCAATGTGAAAACTTAAAATCACTTTCTCCTAAGTGGGTGCATTCCTCTCTGTTTACCTGGAAAAGTTGATTGTAACACACAGCCATGGAGATTTTGTGTTCCTCTGGATCATCCGTAAAAATGCTAAATAAGAGTCTCCTAACAGTTTCTAAGGACATGTCTTCACACTTCTCCTGCCAGAGCCTGTGTCCGTTTATGCAGCTGCTGGTTTCCTTTCTCTAAGTCCATTCACTTTTCTTGACAAAAGGGCCTTCAAGTCCCACCCCCAATTCTTCTATCCCCATCCCATCCCCCGCTGACGCATTTGGTTTGAAATCTTTTCAGATGCTTCTGAAAAATTAAATCACATCCACAGGTCCCTAGGCCAACTTACTGTAAATAAATACTTTGGTTATGTTTTCCTTGCATGATTTTTCCCGCAGATGACCATGTGTGTCTTTGGTTAGTAATTTTTGCTTGTGTGTTTAACGAAAGCTGCCCTTTATCATAAACCCCACTTTTTTTGGAAATGGAGGGGGTACCTTGGTTCCTCAGGGCCCTTTGGGAGTCCTGTATATTCCTAGGAGTCACTTGAAATTTGCCAAGTCACTGGCACAGCAGTTCAAATACAAGATACATTTTTGTCAACAGCTGCCTGGTTTCCTATTCTTGAGGTTCTCAGGTAAGGGCCACACAGAAATGGACCCAACACATGTGACTGAACGCTTCCTGAGAGTAGAGCCCTGTTGGATCCAGCACCTCCAATTTCTCTATCCCAAGGCCTACTTTAGGAATGGGAATCTCCCTTACATCCGCTTTAATAGAGAGCTGGCGTGACTAGCTGTCATTCGTCAGCCCACTCAGCTCAATAGGAAGCAACACAGTCTAGTAGGTAATTAATGGCTTCTGGAGCCAGCTGCCAAGGGTTCAAACCCTATCTCTCACTTACCACCACTGTGGCTTTGGGCAAATTATCCCCTCTGCGAAATGAGAGTAATAGTCGTCCATCTCCCCTAGGGTCCTTATAAGGATAAAGCAAGCTGGTTTGCATAAAGCGTTTATTTACAGCAGTACTTGCCACAGAGTAAGTGCTATGGAAGTATGCGCCATCTTTATTACCATAAGCAGAGCTTTCTTCATTGGTTTATTTGACAAATCTCTGGCAAACTTTTTTTCTCTTTGGAAATCACTCAGGAGGCACTCTTCAAAGCTTTCTTTGCTGCTTTCTTCCCAGATTTAACCAGATCTATTGTACGTTCCAAGCTTCCCTGTTGGCCTCATTCAGATTCTCCCACTTCTTCCAGTCGGCCAGAGAAGGGTTTTCCTATCTCCCAGAATCTTGTCTATTTGGCATTTTTGGTGCAGACTTTCCCAGCTTTCCAATAATATCGTTTAAAAAGGTTGAGATTTATGAATGTCTACCTTCACATTCTCTCATTCTAAAACAGAAAAGATGATAACATTGTCTCCCAATTCAGCCCCAGGGAGCCTCACTTTTTTCTCATCCTCCCAGCTGCTGGACTAGACTGAGCTGTCACGGGCCCCAGGGCTGAGGAACTGGCGTTCTCAGTGGGTCCTGTCATGTTCCCTGGGGAAGGCAGGTCCAGGGGAGCGCCGGGAGGGTGAAGACAGTACAAAGACAGATGCACTTTATTGATAAGGCAACCGCATTACACCGAGCTGCGGCAGAGACCCCATCCGGCCAAGGCCACACTGGGGCGGGGGTGTGACTCGCATTGAGACACAGGCTGAGGTGTCCCTTCTCCTCCTCCTGATGGGTCAGTGGGGTGACAACCCAGGGAAGCAAGGCAGGGATCTGGGATCTGGACATGCTCTGTCTAAAACCCAGGGCTTCCCCCAGGGATGAGGTCAGCCACGAGGGGCATGGGACATGGAGTCTGAGCTCAAGCACGATGTAGTGAAAACAGCACTGGACCCTAAGTCCAAAGTCCGGGTCCAGTCCTGGAGCTGCTTTGAACTAGTTACACGAGCTTGGGTGAGTCACACCTTCTCAGCGTCAGTTTTCTTTAACAAGGGGATTGAACTGGGTCAGAGATTTTCAAGCCCTTTCTACCACTGACTTGACAACTGGACCAATATGTTCTGCAGCTAAAATCAAATCCCAGGGGTCTCTCCCTAATTTGTAAAATAACAACAACAGTAATTAACGTGTAGAATTTTCACAACGTACGTCATCACCCATAAGTATCGCTTCATCAGTGGTGCCTACTACCCGCTACATTAGAATGTGGTACCAAATGGAGTCTGAAGACAACCCCCATCTAACAGACATCACACTGAGTCTAAGGACGGTTCTGCAATAGGGACGGTGGCTGTCAGATGAAGAAACACTGGCCAGCAGACACTGGCGGCTGTTGTGGAGGTAAGCTGGTTTGCTGCCGGGGTCTTCAGGGAACAGCGGATGCAGGCAGAGGGGCATCCTGCTGACACCACCTCCTCCTGGCTGAGACAGCAAGCGCGGCTGCACTCCCCAAACTTGAGTATGATCTGAAGGACCCTCTGTCGCTCCTGGAGGAGCCCTCTCTGCTCTGCTCCCACATGCCTGTCACCCACGCCCCAGAGAAGCCCAGCCGGGTACAAGGGCCGTGAGTGCCCACCTGCTGAGCTGCTCTGCATATGGGGAGTTTGAGGTTCGTGTGCCGCTACCCCGCCCTGCCTCACAGGTCCCTTTTGACGTCAGGGTGGGGGGTGGGAATAAGGAACTACCCGGCCCGACTCCCCCGGAAGTGCTCTCACTGACCAGCCACCAGGCCAACCCGCTGTCCCCCCACCCGGGGCGCTGAAGCACTGCCTTCGGGGGACAGCGGTGTAGAAGCAGGACTCGGTGGGCAGGGAGGGCTTGGGCCTTTGGGGGTCTGGAAATTCCTCCCCCCCATCCCACGCTGCCAGGTGGGAAAGATGAGGCCCCGCTGGTAAGCAGAGCAGCACCTGCTTCTCCAGGCTGCTGGGGGGCTCAGACAGTGGGCTGACGTCTGGGTCACCACCCTTGGCCATCCCAGGATCAGGCCCCTTCAGCGCCCTCGGCCGCTGCGCAAGGGCCCTGGAGTCTGCGGCCGGTTCTCTCTCTGGGGTGGGAGGTAAGGCTCTGGCAGGGTGAGGATGAGGATGGTGCCCATGATTCTCTGAAGCCTGGGGGCCATTCAGTCCTGCCATGTGGACTGTTGGAGGGAGAGCCCCCCCCCCCCCTCGGCCAACCCCTTAGCTCCAGGCTGAGGAGCTGTGGGCTTGGCGGCAGGACAGGTGTGGCCTCCATCGACTACTCTTATGTTCAGGCTGGGTTTGCCTGTCCCCTCACTGCCTGGGCCCTGCTCTCTGCCCTCCTTGGCCTCTCAGCACACGGGTTCTGGGCCAGTGGCCCCCGCCACGGGGAGAAAGCCCATCTTACCACAACTACCTCCGGGGAGAATGTTACCATGGCGATGGGAAAAAGGTGGGCACCGTGGGGTCAGGCAAATGCCCTTTGGCCGGCAGAGGTGGATGGGGGGGGGGGCTGTGACCTTAGTCACCTTGGTTTTGGTCCTCCTTGGCAGTGAGTATCCTAGGCAGGCCAGGGTAGGAAGGCAGAGGGAAAAGGCCCCGTTGTGGCACACTGCCCCGGACAGAGCGGCAGCAGGATGAGGTGTGGGTCATGGGTCAGTGTTTATCGTGGGTGGGGCGAAGGAAGGGTGATCCCACCAGGCTCTGGACGTGTGGGCCTGGAGCTGGGTAGAGGTGAGGGTATCTCTGTCCCTGAGGGATGGCTGCGTCTCTCCCGCCCGCCTGTTCCCTCGGCACCAGCCAGCCGCCACTTCTGTAGTATGGGAGGGGGTATCCCCTGGCACGGGCCCACCTTCAGCCTCTGCCCTCTGCCCCCACTCGAGATTCTTTGTCAAATAAAGAGCAATTCCTCATGACTGAGGTCTCGAGGCACTGGGGGCCGCCCGCGGCCTGCAGGTAAGGGGGACCTGGCGTTAGGTTGGGCAGCAGGGAGGATGGGCTGGGCGGGGAGGGGAAGTGGGAGAGGAGGGGCTGAACTCCCGAAGGAGTGGGGAGAGCTGGGCAGCCTCCGGCCCCAGAGAGGCGGCCCCGCCCAGGCGCCAGGGAAGGCTGCCCTACTCAGGAGATCTCGCTGCCAAACACCTCGAGCACGAGGGGCGTCAGCTTCATGCTGCACTCGGGCTGGAAGGAGAGGCAGCGGTACTGCTTGGAGTGTTCCTCGTTCAGGCTACGCAGGTCCGCTAGCTTCTGGATCATCTTGGCGTAGAGCAGGTGGCTGCCTGGGGGTGGGTGGCAGCAGCGGATGTAGGTCTGCAGCGTGTTGGACAGGCGGTCCTGGATGGCCTCGACCAGTGCAGCGTCCTGCACCCCGGGACGGTCTGTGGGCAGAGGGGCAGGCGAGGAGCTCTGAGCCACAGCTCCCTCACCGTTCGGCCTCCCCCCGCCCACACAGACAGACCCCCAGCCTCAGCATCCTCCCAGGTCACTCCTGGACGGCTGCTGACCTGTGACACCACAGTCCTCCCCAGCCCCTCGGCCGCTTCCCGCTGCATTTAGGATCAAGTCTCAGGTCCGTCCGCGGGCCATCTGGGCCTGTCCCCACCTATTCTCTCTCCTTCTGCCTCTGTGCTCCATCTTTCATCAGGACCCCGATGAGCCATGCTCTCTGCACTCCAGGCTTCACATTTGTCTTCCTTCTGCCCAGAACTCAGCTCCCTTACCTTTGCCTGACTCTTGCTGACCCTTCAGGTAACAGCTTAAAGGACCTTCCTCAAGAAGGCGATCCCTGATGACCCCGTACCTCCATGCCCCAGATGACATCAGGTTCCCACTTTCTGCTATACCCTCTACAGCATCATGTACCATGTACTTCTTTATTTTTAAAATAAAGTATTTGTTTCATGTCTCTTTCTACACTTCCTGGGAGAGAAGTCTGTGTCCTGGTTGCTGCTGAGTCCCTATGCCCAGCATAGTGCCTGGTTCCTGCCAGAAGCCCAGTAAATCATTGCTGAGTGAACGAATGAATGAGTGAGTGAATGCTCACTGGCCAGAAGGAGGGGCGCCCATGTCCTTTCCTTGGGCCCCCAGCCCAGGAAAGCATCCCTGGAGAAAGGCCACTGGCTTGTTCTCTGAACACAGTCCCAGTGGAGGCCTCATCAGCAATCCAGCTTCCCCAGAACCACAAGACCTCCCTCCTCGGCTTCTCTCCTTCCCACCCCAAACGGGCAGAAGAGCGCAAGGATCACAGCACCCTGCCTCCAAAGTCAGTCAGCTAAACTGTCTGTCAGGCCAGCAGAACCTCCTATCAGGCCCCAGGCTTCTGTGGCCCATCCCCAGGGGACCTCAAGTGTCAGCAGAGGTCAGTCCAGTTCACACAAGAGCAGAGCTTGAGCACTGTCCGTGGCCTGAGAAGCCCCATCTACTTGGCTCCTCAGAATCCCACCCATGAATCACCAACGGTCTTGCTAGGGCAAGGCCAAGGGCAGTGAGGGAACCCTCAACACACACACAGCACACGGGCTGGGCAGACCCAGCAAAGTGGGTGGTTCCTTGTTGGTCTCTCCTCGTGCTCACTTCTCCCTCCAATCTTCCCTGCTGGCCCCCAGCGGGACTTTTCTCCTTCCTGCTCCCCACACTGCTAGGTACCTGGGGAGACAATGCAGATGGCCATGAGCAGCACGTGTTCCTCCTCATGCAAGTCCAGCTTCTTCAGCCCCACCTGGAACTTGATGAGGGGCTCGATCAGTTCCAGGCTGTGTCCGGCTATGAGAGAGAACGGCCAGCTGCTGTGGGCACCCCCCCCCACCCCACCTCCGGCCCGACCCTCACCCTTCTCTCCCCGGTGCTGCCTCACTCCCTCTGATGTGCCTGGTGGGGCCCATGACCCCGGGAGGGGTGCAGCCGGGGCAGGAGGAGGCAGAGCCCAGCCGCACCTTTGGTTACATCACTGACTTGGTACTTGTAGTCCGGACTGCTGCAGGTCCAGGACATGTCGTCCATGGTGAAGGACTGGTTGGAACGCAGCATGATGACCTCAATGGCACTCGACTTCAGCAGCACGATCTGGTCCTCAGGGGTGAGGTCTCTGCCAGGGAGGGGGGCGGCGGGGGGGAGGTCAGGTTACTGGTTCATGCAAATCAGTGCAGTGCTTTGACAGGTATACACCTGCCAGGTGACCAGCATGTGCCCTGGGTCCTCCATCGAGGAGCTTGCAGCCTGGTTGGAAAGAACGAGGCTGTTTCTTGAGGGAGAGCCACTTGAGAACAACTCAAGGCTGTGACCAAATGCCAACTGATGTAACTCAGCTACTAAGACAGGGAAAACCCAGTGACTTTCCAGGGTCTCCAAGGTCGGAGCAGCCATGGCTCTTCTAGGGTTAGGAAGATACAGCCTGAAGAAAGGCTATGGCACGAATATGATCGTCTGCAGAAGCATGGCCAGAGCCATCCCCAATGGCTCCCATGCTTTCTTTCCCTCCCCCTCTTCCTGCCCTTCGGTCCTTCCAGTAATGAAGTCAACTCTGTCTCCAGGACATCTCTGGACTCCCACTCCCACTGGGCTGCTCTGATTCAGAGCTCCATCATCTCTTTCAGTTGCCTCTTACTGGACTCCTGGAGTCAAGTCTCTCGTTCACCTTTCCTACTACTGCTACAGGGACGTGTCACTCCTGCGCTCAGAAATCCCCACTGACTATCAAGTGCCCCAGGATCAAGCCCATACGCCGTAACTTGGCTACAACCTGTCTTTCCAGCCCCCGTTCCCATCACAGACTCCACCAACCCTCCATTCTAACAACATCGGACTACTCCACATTCAGATGCCAGGCATTCTCATGCCACCATGCCTTTGAACATGGGACAGCTCCAGCTTAGAGCGCCCATCTTCTGCTCCACCCCACCTTTCTGGTCCTGAATCCAGTGAGGTCTCCTTTGGATCCCTCTACCCTTCGATTCTCTTCATAGAATTAGAGCCATTCCTTTCCGACCTGCTGCACATTGCCTGTAATCCTGTTTTGCCCTTTCCCCTTCTTTGCCTCTGTCCTTTCGATACTTGTCTCTGGCTCTTCATCGTAAGCTACCTGAGGGCCAGCACCACCTCTTAATGACTTTAGTGTTGCCCTCACACTGTTCATTGAGCCCTGAGCATGAGGAGAGGGTCAACAGCTATGTGTTGATGAGTCAAGAGCCTCATGAATAGTTCCACTGTTCTGAGTCACGAGCTGGGCTTGTCTGAACAATGACAAGGAAAAGGCAGGACCCACAGGTCTAATTGCTTCCTCTTTTTCCTCCCTTTCTCTTTCTGTGTATTTCCTCCTGGATATCCTGTCGACGGGCTGTCATCCCCTGTGGCTGCACTTTGGAAAGTAAAAAGGTGGGAAACGGATATTGACTGATGAGAGTCCTGAATCAACAGGTGATGTATGAGGAGGCGTGAAAGGGCTTGCATGATTAGATGACCGCCAAAGGGCCTGCACTGAAGGAAAATCACAAAGTGCTGGGGTTGGAAGGCCCCACTTAGAGGCTATGTGGTCCAATTCCTTCCTCAGCATTTCTGACAGACGGCTCTCACACAGCCTCTGCAGGACTCCCCCAGTGCTAGGGAGCTCCTGGCCTCTGGATACAGCCATGAGGTGCTTGGTTTCTGGGTTAATAGCCTCTTCCATTGGGCTCTAAGCCACGTGATCACACACTCATCCATTGCTTGTAGTTCTGTCCTCTCAAGGAACACAGGACCAGACTTCTCCATTAGCCGTGGGACATCCCTTTAACCATTTAAGGAAAGCCACCACGTCCCTCCTTGCCTTTTCTCTGGAATAAATAGCCCTGATGCCATGGCATCTAGATGTCTCATCATCCTTGTCACCGTTTTCTGGGTGCTCAATCCACACTGAAAAAATAAAAACTAACACCACCCTCATTTGGGTTTTAATTCATTATACGAGTAAAACATGTTCATTATCAAATCTTTGGAAAATACCGTCTCCCTCCCACCTATTTTTGGGCATTTTGGTTGCTTCTAAGTTTTGCCGTTATAAGGAATTCCGTGAGGAACATCTTTGTACATAACCTTTTGTTCAATGGCCCACTCAAAATGGATGGCCAGAAGTGAACAAACATCCCGTGGGTGCCTGGCTAGAGAGATTTCAGCGGGATCACTGCCTGCTGTGATCCAGACATATTACTTCTATGAGAGCAAGCCTAGAATGACCTCAAATTACCACCCACAGCCTGGAAATACAGGGACTTTCTAAGTGCAGCTCACAGCCAGAAGTGGAAATGGTAGTGGGTGGCGGTAGCGGTGGACATAAAGGGGAACTCAGTAAGAGACCTCGTTCCTGCTGTGATGGGCACCAGCTCCGGCTCTGGGCCTCCTCCCTGGACCTGAGTACTATTTACACCCTGATCAGTTTCCACACGTGTGGCCACTTCTGGGCACCTGTGAGGTGCTCTGGGGATGTCTCGTCTTCCCCACCCCCCTAGGCAGGGTCCAGCCTCTCCCCATCTGCCTTCCCTCGGTACCTCTTGGCGCCCTTATCTCTTCACCGCGGCTATTCATATGTCTATCTCTTCCATCAGACGCTGTACCTCTGGAGGCCAGGGACTGTGTCCTAGCCATCTTTTATCCCTCACAGTTTATGTAATAAGCAAACTGATTGTTGGACAGATGAATAAGTGAATATAGAGGAAAGGGCACAGGAGGAGGGAAGCACTATGATCCCAGGCCTGTGACCCAGGAAGGAGCCCCTGGGGATGGAAATGGCAGTGAGGTTGAAGGCGTTTAGCCCTCTGGCGCTGGGGCCCGGTCCCTCATGCACCCCTCTGGGCAGTGAAACCTGTGGTCCTTGGTTCTCGGATCCAAGACGGCTCCTGGCCACGGAGTCTCTGCTCCTGACACCACTTCCTCCATGCATTTCTTTTTTTTTTTTTTGCAGTACGCGGGCCTCTCACTGTTGTAGCCTCTCCCGTTGCAGAGCACAGGCTCTGGACGCACAGGCTCAGCGGCCATGGCTCACGGGTCCAGCCGCTCCGCGGCACGCGGGATCTTCCCGGACCGGGGCACGAACCCGTGTTCCCTGCATCGGCAGGTGGACTCCCAACCACTGTGCCACCAGGGAAGCCCCATGCATTTCTTTTGCAGGGCGGAAGGAGGGGGATTTGTGGGGTGCAGACCGAGAGGCTGAGGGAGAAGAGGTGGGAGCCAGGGGCAGGGCCAAGGCCACACCACAGGGCAGTCCACACCCAGCACAGCCCATCCAGCCCCGCCTACACTGGAATCTTGTCCTGTACTCTCCCCTCCACTCACCCACACAGACGTCTCATCCTGCCCTCCCCACACCCTCCACCCCCGCCTCCAGGCAGCAAGATCAAAGCCACCAGGGATGCAGCCACTGTTCTTTCACTTCTTGGAAAAACAGAACCTCTAAGTGCAGGAACCGGCAGAACCAGAGAACTGTTGGGCTGCCCGTGCCTGGGTCCTATGGAAGCCTGGGCTCTGGCCCCCGTCCTGGTGCAACATCAGCTCCACCCATTCCCAGAGAGCATCCACGTTAATGTCCCCACAGAGCTCTTGCTGAAGCCTGCTCCATTTTTGTTGGAAAACATTCCACTTTGAGTCTTCTCAAGACATGCTGAAGCCAGAAAAGTTAACCCAAGTGTGTTTAGGATCGATTTAATTGATTTTGCCTCCATAGCTGGGTGGCTCCAATACCTGCTCATATATACCTCACTTCGGCTAGGACTGCAGGGCTACACCAGGGAACTCTGGAGGATGAGGCTTGAAAGGGAAGGAAGGGGGTAGACTTCAGCTCATCCTTGGGGAGAGGAATTGAGGGGCAGGTGGTGCTATTTTGTGTGAGGGTATATGTGGCGAAGGGAAGGGATGGGGACCAAGAGAAAAACTGGGGCTCAGGTCACTTAGTGGAGGGGGCTGCGTTGGGGTAATCTGGTTAAATGGGTCACTTTCTTTTTAGGACAGTTTTCCCACGTGGGCAATCCTAGCCACCAAACCTTAACATCTGGACAGGGCTTCAGGTGCCCTCTGGTCCAGCTCCCCACTAGGCAAGGTTTGGGGACTGTGTAGATGAGGGCTGCTCCTCCTGGAATTAGGATGAGAGCCGCCTGCTACAGTGTATCCATCAACACCTTGAAGTGTTTTTTCTCTAGCTGTTTGCACAAAACAAGACTTTGGGGACACGTGCAGTTTGCAAACAGTACTGAGAACAGTGGGGGAGGGAGCTGGAACTTGTACTAAGCGGAATGTTGCCATCAGTTCCAAGGAAAGACTCTGGAGGGTAAATCCCAGGCCCAGTGCGATGCTGACCTCACAGGTGACACCCGTTCTGCATGCAGGGTGGCCTTTACTCTTTTTGATGCGACCAAAATGTGCGATACAGTAAGCGTGTCTCAACACCATTTGATGGTGTCTCTCCTTTATAATTTTCACATTAATTCCAGGAAAGAACATCGGTGAATCCCTGGTATTTGAATTGGTGTGAGGCATAAAATAACACAGAGCAGGTTGTCTCAGGACAGAAACAAACTGGGATGCGCTGGGTTTAGCTGTGTGAATTACCATCATTTGGCTGGCAATGCAGCAATTTAGACAGTAGCTGATGGCTTCCCTATGCACCAGAGATTCACCAAACAATGGCACCTCGTGTTAGCTTCCATCCAGAGCTGGCCAACGTCCAGTCATTTTCCATCTCCCAGTATTCTAGCGCTGAATCCAAGCATCAGTATTGAGGAAGCATTCTACCCCTTCTGCTAGAGCTGCAACTATTGCTACTACTTGAAATGATGAGAGTATTGCTTGATATTAACTAATTTCTTTCTTTCTGTTTTTTTTTGGTCACGCCATGTGGCACGCGGGGTCTTAGTTCCTTCACCAGGGATTCCGCCTGCAGTGGAAGGTGGATCCTTAACCACTGGACCGCCAGGGAAGTTTATTCATTTATTTCTTGACCACAATGTATAGCTATTTGATGACAATGTTCCAAATGAACTTTTAGAAAGAATGAAGCTATTGATATACATAAATATAGATATAACTGCCTCCCAACATATCTACAAAAAGCGTCAACTTTTATGTACTTTTGAGAATATTTAACACTGTATGACCATTTAAATATAAGTATTATAGATAGCATTATTATCAAAACAATAGAACATTTGAATGAATGAATGAAATTTGTATGAATGAATCCATAAGGGAGGGTCTTTACTCCAGTAGAACTCCTTATACTTACCTATTTTGGCAAAAAAGATCTCAGTATGATTAGGAAACAGCCTTGAGTGAAGGGTAAATTGGGTGAAAGATGCCCAGGTTATATGGACAAGTGCGTCTCCCTCTAGGATTCCTAAATTACATCACAAGCCCAACCCTTTTTCCTCTCTATCACTTCATCCTGGTTTCAGAATTGGGTGTGCAGGATTAATGTAGGTTTAATTGAAAAGGATAATATGAGGAATAGATCCAAGGCAGCTGGAGTGGACACAGCAGTGAACTAAGAGTTCTTAACCCGGCTCTGACACGTGGGCTGCAACACTAGAAATCCTGGTGTTGGCCATTGGACCTCACTGGGTTCCTGTTCCATCACATAGGAAGTGAAAGGGATGGATGGCTCTCCAGTGCTAGCCTGCCGAGTAATGCTGGATGGGCTGCACTTCTTAAATACAGATTCCTGGGCCTTGCCCAGAGGTTCTGGCTTAGGAGGTCTGGGGTGGGGCCCGAGGCTGTATTTTGGAAAGCAGTAGATTGGTAATTCCCGAGCCTTCTTCAGGCTCAGTCTAGATTCTGACTCTGTTCCCTGGATGTCCCAGAAGCTCCTTACCTGAACCCTGGGATCATCTTGGCAAAGCCAATGACCTTTTGGATACTGTAACTGACCAGGTCAGCCAGGTGCGGCAGCATGGAGAGCTGGGACAGGTCCAGGGTCACAGAAGAGTCATCAGAGTCTTCCTCACTCAGATCCAGGTTGGAGAAGCCGGTTGGCTCCATCGTATCTGGGGAAGGATGAGGGAAGAGGAGGAACTACTTGAGCCAGGCTTCTGCAAGGCCCCGCGAGGCCCTCCTACACCCTGGCAGCAGGGCCAGCTGGGAATCCCACAGTCACCATTTCTCTCCAAGGTCACTTCAGCCCAGGCTTCCCCCTAGGGTTCCCTGAGAGTGGGGCAGGAAAATCAAATATCAGAGACACTCTGAGATAAGAGACCTTCTTTAAGATGTGATTTTACATGTTGTTCCTAATGATCTCAAATCAAAGATGCATTTGGGGGCTTCCCTGGTGGCGCAGCGGTTGAGAGTCCGCCCGCTGATGCAGGGGACATGGGTTCGTGCCCCGGCCCGGGAAGATCCCACGTGCCGCGGAGCGGCTGGGCCCGTGAGCCATGGCCGCTGAGCCTGCACGTCCGAAGCATGTGCTCCGCAACGGGAGAGGCCACGGCAGTGAGAGGCCCGCGTACCGCAAAAAAAAAAAAAAAAAAAATGTTCAACCTCACTAGTGATCAAAGAATGGCCAAGAAGAACATCTACCTTTCACCTCTAAACTAGAAGCAAGTACGTTTATATGTTGACACCAGTGTTTGTAAAGATGCAGGGAATTAGGCAATCCTTGTGCAGCTCTGGGGTATAAAGGAGGCATACATTTGTGCAACTAATCTAGAAAGCCATTTGACCGTGATGGCCCAAAGCCTACAATTATGTACACTCTATGACCAGTAATCCTACTTACATGAATTCAACATAAGGAAAAATTCAGAATAAGTGCAAATATTTAGCCACAAGCATACCGTTATCTTAATGAAGAGCTGGGAAAAAAAATCTAGATAACCAGTGATGGGGACTTAGATATGTTATTGTACATTACACCCCAGAATACTATGCAGCCTTTAAAAATTATATTCTAGGTGTGTACTGAATGGTATGAAGATATGACAATGTACTATCAAGAGAAAAAAGCAAGTTACCAGACTGCGTATAGCACAATTCCATTTCTGAACATATATATGTGTTAAAAAAAAATTGGGAAAAGACACATCACAGTGTTAACCGTGATTATCTTTGGGTCGTAGGATTAAAGATTATATATAATATATATAATAAACATAATTTAGTTTATATTTTCTGAATGTCTACAATGAACACATATTACTTTTATATAATAATTTTTTTAAGTTAAAAATGTTAACTAGTTTGAATTTTTCAATAAATATATGCTATACTGAACATACCATGGGTGGGGTGGTAAACACCTCAAATTAATTAACCTATGAGAAGAAATCAAAACTTCTAAATAATATAAAATTATTATGAAAAGCTGAAGGACAGACCAATGTATAGCATGCAGATTGGCCTTCTTTTTTTTTTTTTTCCTCCCAGCCGTGCCACAAGGCTTGTGGGATCTTTGCTTTCCGACTGGGGATTGGACCCGTGCCCTCGGCAGTGAAAGTGTCGAGTCCTAACCACTGGACCACCAGGGAAGTCCCCAGATTGACCCTCATTGATAAAAATGAATATACCATAAAGTAAAAAGAGCAGGAAAGTGGGTAGAGAAAATTACCACAGGGGAGGGGTTACTACAAAGTTAACTACAAGGTGAGGGGCTCAGAGGATCAGTTATCTGTGCAGTGGTCCATGCAGGTGAGTAGACACACGGCCGACTCCACTGTTATCTCTGTCTAGTTGACACAGGGAGCCCTCCCACCTACTCTGGATCTGGGCACAGATCCATCAGTGAGTCTGGAAGTACCATATCTGAGGATTCTAGTTCCCCAGAGGGGAGGGGGCTTTTCCATCCCTGCCTTTCTACAGGCCCCAACCAGAGGGCAGCTGGGTTGGGTGAGAGATAGAAGGATGAAGGGAAGGGCAGGGGGTGGATGAGGCAGGAAGATGAAGAGAAAGGTAGGAAAGGACTATAAGAGGAAAGCAAGGATGAGCTGGAAGGGACAGGTCCTCCAGGGCCTTAGGGGCCCCCCAGGGCTTGAGGGGAAGGTGGGCTGTAGTGGGACCCACATCTCCTTCCATGCTGAATTCCACCTTCCCAAGACTCAGGCTCTGGTGACTGTAGTTAACAACACTGTTTGTTATATTTGAAAGTTGCTAAGAGAGTACGTCTTAAAAGTTATCACAGGGGGGGAAACATCTTTGTAACTATGTGAGGTTAACTAAACTTACTGTGGCAATCATTTTGCAATATATACATATATCACATCATTATGTTATACACCTTAAACTAATACAATGCTATATGTCAATTATATCTCAATGAAACTGGAGAATACAAAACCTCAAATGAAACAAACAAAAAAACCCCAAGGGCCCGCGCTCAAAGTACCATTTAAAGGAATCCGGTCACTCCCAGGGAGGGAGCCAGGGGCCGAAGCCTGGCTTAGACGAAAGAGCAGAGGCTGCTCTGCAGGCAGACCCTGCCCACCAGACCCCTGTTTGGCCCCTTCCTCAGCGTCCTCCACGTGGGCCCTCAGGAAAGCCCCGCCTCTTCTCTAAAAAAGGTTTTTCTCTGAGGACGTTGCCTGGCACGCAGTATGTAAGTGCTGTCCTTCCAGCTGCAGCCAAGGACAGGTGGGCTGGGGAAGCTCTGGGCTCTCTGGGAGGGGACGTGCAGTCCCACTTACCTGGAGAGGAGGTGTAGTGATCTGAGCAGGCGGAGGATGAGTTTCCAGAGAAGCTGGGCGTGTGTATGAACCAAGGCCCTGAGGGATGGTTCCCTTCATTCTCCCTCTCTCGAACCGGAGGCTGGAGGGAAAGGTGGAGCGTCAGAGGCCCACACTTGGAGGTCACCTTCCTACCCCAGCCCTGATCTCTGACAGGAGGGGGAGTCCTCCCCAGTGTCAGAAGGCCAGAACAGCCTCCATCCCTTCCCAGGTTCTGTGCCCAGATGCCCCTTTGCCCTCCGTCCCCCTCCAAGCCCGGGCTCTGCTGGTGGCTCGTGCTGTACCCGGAACTGGCTGAAGTCGGCGTAGGTGGGGTCATAGGTCTTGTGGTGGGCGTCCAGCAGGATGGTGATGATGCGCTGCTGCTCGTCGGACAGCTTCGGCCGCAGGCTGTCCTTTAAGGCCTCCTCTTCCTTCTTCTTGAGGATCATCTCCCGCTTCCGCTGCACCTCTTCGTCAGTCAGGATGACTGTGGGGCGGGAAGGGGGGAGTCAGGAGGGCTCCCCTGCAGCGCCTCCAAGGAACCTTCCTCCAGGTAAACGCACGAGATGGAAGGGGCTGTGCCTCACACTTGGAGCTCACCGGGCCGTCCGGCCACGGGGACCCCAAGCCCACAATACGAGTGGAAGATTGCGTGTTCTATGTTGAAAAAGCGGGTGCGTGAGAGAGGAGGAGATAGAGGATTGGGGAGATGGGATGCTTGGGCATTGTTAGGGAGCCTGGGATCTCAATAACAAGGTGTCTGACTCTGCACGGACTGAGCTCTCCAGGCTTTTGTTTGCTTGTTTCTAAAATGAGAAGTTTGGACCATATGATCTCTTCTAAGTCCCTGTTTCGTTCCTTCCTCCATAAAGCATGCGTATGTGGGGATCCTACCTCAAAGGACCGACTGCCTTGAGACCTGAATGCAGGCCTACCACAGAGCAGACGCTTACTAAACGTTTGTTCTTGTCGCTTCTACCCCCTCCCTGTATTCCCTGATCCTGAGGGAGACACTGGGGGAGGGAGGGTGCACAGTCACGGCAATAGAGGCTAGGAGGTGCTGAGAAGACCTCACACGGCCTTCCCCACATCCAAGTTTCCATGCTTGTGATCTACTACGACCAACGTAGAAAGACTTTGCCTCTTTGGTTGGGCCCAAACAACCCCTGCCTCAGCCAGTCCAGTCTTGGAATGACTGCCCAAGGAAGTTTTCGAGTCCTCTGGAAGTCCCCAAGCATAGCAGCTCACAGCTCTAATCTGGGAAGCTCTCTCCAGCAACTGGCCAGTGTATCCCATCTCGGGGATCCCCTGTCCCCTGCAGGCTGTGCAGGGGCTCCGGGCCTCCCGGTGCTGGGGCAGCTGCCGGGAGGGCGGGGCTGGGAGCAGGGGTGCTTAGCACAGCAGCCAGGCACACAGACCTCCCGGCTGGGGCTTTAAGAGCGCTGACGGCAGGAGTGGGCGCTGGGGCCCCCGGCCTGCAGCTGCTTGCTCTGTGCTGGCCTTACCAGGGCATCTGCCCACAGAACTGAGAGTTTCACAAGAGCAGGAAAAGGAACCAGAACCCCAGAGTGGGTGGGTGCCTGGCTTCGACAAAGGCCTATTGGCCTAGGCCCCTTGGGTGGGGGAAGGACGAGAGAAGTTGGCGGGGGCGGAGAGGGAGAGCCTGTCGGGGGTGGGAGTGGGCACAGCAGGAAAAGGAAGCCTGCTGCGAAAGATGGCCTGTTTCTTCCAGAGCTGAAACAAACTATACCAAGAGGAAGACTGGGGTGGACACAACGCCCAGGTTACTGACTCACCTGCCCAAAGAGCTGCCAGCCCTCCTTCCACAGAGGGTGTCTGCTCAGACCCCAAGAGATCGAGCAGGGTGGGCGAGGGAGCATCCCATTCAAGGCAGGGTGTGAGGTCCTAGCCTGGGGAAGCCAAGATTAGGTGTTGGGTCTTCCCCACCAAGGAGATGGACCGCATCTGGGAGCCCAGCAGGAGGGCAGGATGGGGGCGGGGGGGGGGGGGGGGGGGGGCTCTGTGTGCCCACAGGCATGCCTCTCAGGCCCGACAGGGCTCTGATAACCCCCTGTGATTCTATGATGTCACTCTCCTGCTCAGAAACTTTTTCTGGATCCTTCCTGCTTACCATGCCCCAACTAAAGTCAAGATTCTCCGTGATTCCCCTCCTTCCTAACTTTCCAGCCTCATCTCCCGGTGCCACTGGACACAGCTTCTAGTCCAGTCACGCTGGGATTGCTGACCTGTGAACATGACCTGCCACTGCATTTCTCCTTGTGCTGGATGCCTGTCCAGCTGGGTCTTCTCTCCCCAGTAGCCATGCAAGCTCTATTGGTTCTCCAGCACCCAGTTCACAGCCCTCTCGTACGACGAGAGGCTTTCTCATTACCTTGATCGGCAGTGAGCCGTTTTTCCCACACACACTGGCACCCGATCGTTTTTCACTGTTACATTTACGGTTAGTACAGTTCCCAGTAAATGCCTTTATAGAGAGAGCCTAAGAAGTTCAAGGTCTCCTTCACTGGAACTGCAGGCTACCTAAGGGCGGGGGCCACATCCTACAATGCCTGTGTCTTCCCCACCAAGGCTAGCCCAGTGGGGCTTCCTCAATAGCCTGATGCACTGGACACCCAACACATCAACACTGGCTGTACCTACTATGTGCTGGTCATCATCCTGGCTCAGGAAAGAATGGTGAGTAGTATAGCAATGCTGCCCGTTCCCTACCATGTCGGAATGGCACACGCCGCATGCCAGTCCACCAGATCACTGAGCAAAGCTTACATTTTTTAATTTAAATAATTGTGACTGAAGTATTTTCAAGACAGAATACCTTGTAACAGAACACCCGTAACATCATGTAACCTTTGCCTGATGATTCAGAGGCATCATTCTGAATAATTCTTGGACTTTGCAGGGACAAGGCTATGACCTCAGAATTGTATGGAGCTGTGTTCCTGCACTATATGACTCAGCCAGCTGTGATTCTGAGTTCTCGTACTGCTTTTCATACCAGTCTAGCCCGCTCTCTTTAGCTATGTGTTGTCTCTTCTTATCTGTGAGTATGCCTTTATCCCCCTTAAGAGTTACTTCTCATCTGTTGGGAGCTGGCAATCCTGGTGATCAAGCTGTATGTAATAAAAAATACGTTAATAAAAATAGAGGTTTGTTTGAATGTACCAGGCACTGTTCTAAGTGCCTCTATATATTAACTCACATTACTTAGTTCTTATAATAACCCCTAAGGCAGGTACTATTATCCTCACTTTGCAGATGAGGGAAGTGAGGCCCAGAGAGGCTATAAAACTCGTTCAGAGTCACACAGCAAACAAGTGGTGGAGCTGGTATTTGGGCCTGGGCAGTCTGGCTCTACAGTCCAAGGTTCTAACCACTGTCCCATACTGCCCGTGACTATAATTGGCTATGAATGCTCAGCAGGACCCTGGTCCTCAGTCATGGAGTCCTGACACACAAGGTGTTCCAATCCATCTGAAGAGTATGAAAAAGTAAATAAAGTCGCAAAGCTTGTCAGTGATTTACCTTAAAAGGAGAAAGTTAAGAGATTTGAGGTTAACTCACTTCTAGCGAACAGTTGAGGTTAACCTTATGACACTGGTCTTCTCCCGCACTTCTAGTGAACAGTGACCACCATCCCACGTGCGGTACTAGAGGAAGAAATGTTAAGATCCGCTGGTTTCAAACGAAGGCTGCCAATCCATGGGCCTCCCTCCAGGCAACATTTTCTGGGGACTAATAACTCATAATTCTCTCACATATGCAGATGTTGTTGTGACTTATGAAATAAGTCATTTGTTTAAAGGGGCTGTTAATTTCATAGGAGTTAAAGAATCATTTTCTCAATGAATTGCTACTAAAAATACCATTATTATCATGTAAGAGGACACTTTTTTGGTTTGTTTTATTTTTTGTGTTTTTTTTTTTGTCTAAGCAATAGAAATTTATTTCTCACTAGGAGGCACATTTTGAAGTTAAAAGCCACTCAAGTTAAAAGCCCATCGATGGGCTCTCCAGTGAATCAAGGACATGAGCTGTGTACAGGGGTTTTGTGAAATCCATACGGCTGCTTAGTCGCTTCCCAGGTCCTTGCTGAGTGTGCAACTGGCTTTGCTCAAGTTAATCCCATGCGAGATATTCCCTATTCCATAAAGTCTAGAATAGAGTTAGGGGGTCAAGATCTGAAAGCACAAACAACTTAAAAGCATTTCAGTTTGCCACAGGTGGCCTAAGGACAGCATTAGGGAAACAGCCGTAAAATTTTCCCAAATGAATGACATTGACAATATCAGATTGGGAGATCTTCCTGATACATAAATCAGTGGGAGATGCAGAGATACAAAGAAGCATAATGGGGAGCTAATATTCAATCATTCAACACATATTTACAGAACTCAACTGTGAAATGTCTTGGGCTCCAAGGACATCAAGTCCACCTGGACTTGAAGAGAGACAGAATCTTTAGCAGGAACAAACTCTCTTCCGCCCGTCTCTTAGGGCCCCAGGCAGTGCCTGGAAATGCACAGTGGAGGCGCTCTGGCCCACTGAGGGGAGTGGGGAGAAAAGGGGAGGGGGGCCGAGGGGCTGTGCTGGGGTGGAGCCCACAGGCTTGACCTTTGGAAACAGGCCTAGGTTATTAGCTTCGGAGGCATGATATTTTAATTTCTCTGAATTTGCTCATCTATCACAAAAAATAAAAAATAAAAACAGAAGTATTTACATATTTAGGGATTGTTGTCAGACTTTAACAAGAAAGTACTAGTGCCTGACACTGGTACAGTAAGTGGTCAATAAACATTGGTTCCCACGGGCATCTCCTCGGCTTCTTCTGCCTCCTCTAGGAAACGGCCACCTCCCTGTCCCAACCAGAAAGCAGCCTGGGTTTGCAGCTCCCTTCAAAGGGAGCCCTGGCGTGCCCTGTGGTTTTACTAATGTTGACACTCAGTTGTCCCTAGGAGGCTAGGCCTTGGAGATGACAGCCAGCCTGGGTGATACACAAGCAGCTCTCCTAGGGGACCTGAGCTGGGGCGTTCCAGGCCCCCCAAAGCTTGGCTAACCTGAGGCAGGAAATAGAGCTTTTCCTGGAGGACCTTCCCTTTGGGGCAGTGGAAAGAATAAGCCTCGCGTTGGCCCAACATTTCTATTACAAATGGAGCTCTGGGGCCCAGATCCCAAAAGTGCAGCTCTACCAGCCCATCCCTAACTCAGCACAGCTCCCTGCACTAGCATGGCGAGAGTGGTGGGCACAGAGCTGCCCTGGGCATAGAGCAGGAGGGGGGCACGGGGCTCCATCCGAGGGACTGAGGCTGAGATTAGGTTGGCTGAGACACAAAGCTGACCAGGGGCTGGGGGTGGGCATCCACTTCTGGATTGCTGGCCCCCCACCACATGGTGTTCCTGGGGTGGGAGCACCCTGAAACACTAAAGGCCTGCTCAACACGGTGGATGCAGTGCTCTCCACGGGGACCAGGAGTGATCTAGGAGGGACAAAGAGTTGGATTCTAGTCCCAACACGCTTTCTGACTCCAATCCTGGTATTAATATTTTTGCCTTTCTGGGTCTCAGATGATTTCTAAGTGTGCTTCCTGTTCTAAGCAGATGGAACATCTCTTTTCTCCTGAGACATAGGAGAGGCACTTCTGGGACATCAGTGAGGCTGGCCCTGACCAGAACTCCCGTGGCAGAGCCTTACTGAGTTCCAGGTGTAACTCTGGGCCATTCTTGGTTGGCTGGAGCCTTGGAACCATGGCCCCCTGCCCTGTGGAGGCTGTGTGCTCAGAGGGGGCAGGGGCAGGGGCGGCGCACGCTGCTTCCTGTTTACATCCAGCCTAGCACCTTGAACAGAGCAGGCTGCACTAAGCCAACGTGTGAGAAGCTCCACGAGGCACGCAGGCCTTGAGCCTCCACGACTCCAGGATAAACGGGGGTTGGGTGGGGCAGGGGACCCAGGCTAGGAGTGATCAGCCTGCCCAGGCCTGCACGCTCCCATGGGGGCGAGGAGGAACGATGGCCTGGAAGCTTCTTCCAGGGCTGCTGGCGTTGGCTGGGGAGCTGGTATCGGGAGTGAGGGGCCGTGGCCCACCAGAAGGGAGCCTGTCAAAGTCCGAGGAGGCCTCACTGGGGCCGCCACTTGGCCTCTGTTTCCCAAAAACACAGCATTTTTTCCCATCAAGGAAGAAACTTCCCATCCCCTCAGCCCTGTCCTGTGGCTTTTTCCTTGTTCCAGACACGTCTCCCCTGTACCTAACGTCTCCAACGCCCACCCCCCGCCCCCCAGAATTGGCCCCATGGCCAGGAGGGCCTCCAGGGGTGGCTGTATCTGAATGTTCCTCCTGAGTCTCCTCAGGCCCATAGCTTAGCAGGGCACAGCCCCCATCCCAGGCCCTGGAAGGGATCAGGGTACAGTTCACAGATGGGGGTGAGCAAAAGGCACAGAGCAGGGAATAGTGTGCAGAGGGCACCCATGACCAGGCCAGCCCAGGGCCCTTGCTTCCAGCCCAGGGAGGGCCTGGCCCGCCCTTCCCAGGGTCTACTGAATTCAGTGGTTACTCTGCTTACCAAGTAACTGGCACTAGAGCTCAGATGCAAAGTCCAGGGGTTATTTTTAGTTTAGCTTAGTTTGTTTTGTTTTGGCCATGCCACACAGCATGTGGGATCTTAGTTCCCAACCAAAGATCCACCCCGCAGCCCCTGAGTTAGAAGTACGGAGTCTTAACCAGTGGACCGCCAGAGAAGTCCCCAAGGGTTGTTTTTTTGTGTTTTGGGGGGTTTTTTTTGGCGGTACGCGGGCCTCTCACTGTTGTGGCCTCTCCCGTCGCAGAGCACAGGCTCCAGACGCGCAGGCTCAGCGGCCATGGCTTATGGGCCCAGCCGCTCCGCGGCATGTGGGATCCTCCCGGACCGGGGCACGAACCCGTGTCCCCTGCATCGGCAGGCGGACTCCCAACCACTGCGCCACCAGGGAAGCCCCCCAAGGGTTGTGTTTAACAGTGGGACAGAACATGTTAACCCGCCACACTGGTCCTCTTCTGCAATGCCAGTGCTGGACAGGAAGTCCTAGAGGATCACTCCTCTTTTTCAATCTGGATCTAGAGGGTCCTCCTAGAGTCTAGGGCTTCCCCTCACAGGATCTTTCCACCTAGTCCTGGACACCAGCCCTCGGATCTGCTCACTGGGCCAGAGTGGCTGAAAGGCTAGGGTGGGGCAGAACCCCCATGACAGCCAGGCTCTGAATATTTCTCCTCTCCATCACTCCTGCCCCTGCCCACTCACAGCAGCCCTCTCTCCCAAAGTCCAAAGAACCCTGGGGTCCTTGAGCCTCATCCTTTCCCAGAAGGTCCTGGAAAGAGGCTGCTGTAAGAATGGCGATGACGTCTTAGAGGAAGACAAGCCTGGGGGGGGGGGCTCACGTAGGCAGTGCCCTGCTTGTCCCTCCTCACAGGCCTCGCACAGGACGGGCCCTTCCTGGGCCTCGGGTGCCCCGGGACACACACACACACACACACACACACACACACACACACACACACACACACACACACACACACACGGATCCTAAAAAGGCTGGCAGGACTCCTTGGGCCTTTGATCTTGGAGTTCCAGCTGCCCTGCCTGATGCTGTTGGTCCCACTCACGCCCGGACTCCCGACTCAGGCCCCAAATGCCGGCAGCTACAGAGGAAGGGCAAGAGGACATTGCTGGCCAAACCTGCGTAAGCGGCAGCCCCCTTCCCCCTGACCGCACCCTCGCCCCGCACAGGCCCCGCCCCTGAAACTCACACTCCTTCATCATGCCGATGTCCACACAGCGCTTGAGCCGGCAGGCCTGGCAGTGGCGGCGGTTGTCCTTGGTGATGCGGCAGTGTCCGTTGAAGGGACAGGTGAACAGTGCCTTCCGCTTCATGCTCCGTCTGCGGAGAGAGCACAGACCCTCGCTGGGTCACCTGCTTCCCAGCCCCTCGGCCCTGCCTGTGGGAGAATGGCCTGAGAGGGCTGTGATCAGGAGACCTGCCAATGCCCCCCCAACCCCGCCCCCCACCCCGGGGCCCTATGTCTCCCAAGGAGGATGGCGGCCCAGCCCAGTCATTTCCTATTCTGCCCCCATCATTGGTTTTACTTACCTTTACAGTACTCCCCTCCTCCCTTTCTTTTTATTGCACAGGAAATATGAGTGAATTAGCTATAGCAAAAAAAGAGCCCTCACTGCCTTTAGTGCCATCATGAGAGGCAATGAAGCTGGTCTCAGCTTTAAGTCTTCTAGAGTCAGAGATCTGTGACTAGAGCATCCCCGGTTCAGGGACAGACATGTGCACAGGTGCACAGAGAAGGGAGAAAGGGCCCAAACCATAGCTTCAGACATCCAGACAACCTGCCCAGAAAGAGAAGCAGCCACATGAGCAGGTGGGTGCCTCGAGGTTTGGCCTTGGCTTTTCCGAAAGGTAAAGGAAGTTAAAGCGTTCTGTAAGAACCGAAAACTACCGAAGAGCTCTTAGCTCTTAGCTGGCACCCCCCGCTCCACCCCACAGCCTACGCAAACTCGTGTGTGCGTGTGCGCACGTGTGCGTGTCTGCGCGCACAGGCATGCCTGCAAGCCCAAAGGCTCATTTTCCTAATTCCGGCTTTCTCCCCTGCTCCCGGCCACAGCACATGGGACGTTTATGAGGCTGCATAAAGGACAGCTCCCCAGAGGCTTCTCAGCATCTGTATCCTAGAGGTTCCTCTTACTGTCCCCAGCCCCAGCAAGGGGAGGCCCCACTTTTTCTGCCCCAGGACAGGTGCCAGGATTTAGCTGGGAAAAGCTGGTGGCAGAATCACTTTCTCTGTGAGCAGCAGCATCTTCCAAGGAGCTGTGGAGATGCCCAAGCCTTAGAAGCCAAGGTCCGGGCTCAACCCTTTCCCTCTCCTGGATATAAGCTACCGATATCGTCTTCTCCGGTTGTCATATACTAGTTATGTTTTTGGTGAAAAATGACTTACTGTTCACATTCACTGGAACACATACGGATTTAGGACAAACACGTTCATCAGTCGACATGGACATATGGGGACCAAACCAACTTGACCCATGGGAGAGGGGAGAAGAGACTAGAGGAACAGGAAGTCATAGGTAGTCAGACTCTAAGACCCTTAGGGCACCCCTCATTTTATGGCTAGGACCCCTGAGGTGAAGAGACTTACTTGAGGCGATTTAGCAAAGAGTTGAGGCTCTCAAGTTGCGACCTTAGGAATGTGAGGCTCAGCTTTTAGCTTCCTGGATTGGACATACTGTTTCATACCCAGAAACTCAAGGAGCTCGATGAAGCCGAGCTCACAGGCAAACGGCTTCAGGCAGTTGGTCCTTGAGCACAGCTCAAGGCAAAGGACACCCAGTGGTCTGGGAAACAGGTGCTGTTGGCTTTGGACCTTGGCCCTGGTACCCTCCCATCACAACCCTCACACCCAAGGGGTCACCAGCAGACTGGGCAATACGGGGAGGTGGAGGAGTGCTAGCTATTCGGGTGGTTTAGTCCCCAGTCCAGCCCACTGAAGGCCGTGTCCTGCCCCTGCAGTGACTCCTCAGGGAGAGACTGTATCCCAGGCTCTTGCCTATGGAAACAGAAAGCCTTTTTCCTTGTGCTTCCATACGTTTACTGCAGCTTCCCAGAGGAACAGAAGGACATAGAAGCACCTTGGTTAACCTGAAATGAGATACTGTCATCACCACAGGGCACATAGATATGTTCCCGGACATGAGATTGGCTCCCCTTTTACTCCCTTCTCTCCTTCCCACTTGAGGCACCACCTGTTATACCACAAATGCTCGGGCCCCAGAATGCCAGAAGTTTCTAATTAGAGCAAACTCTCTTTTCCTTTTTTTTTTTTTTTTTTAACAACCAAACATTTTGCCTGGGGGCTGAGCTGAGGGGCTGCTCTGTCCTCCTACCCACTGTCTTGTCTGGCTCAGAGGTCAACCTGTTCATTCTCTAGGGCCACGGGCACCAAGAAGAACTCACATCATGGCACCTCTAGACACATGAGCCAAAGCCTCTCACATCCCTACGCTGGGGGCTGAGAGCTTCCCGAGGTCCCAGGAGGGAGGGGGCCCCAGCGTCCTTTCGAGGCCCGTCTCTCCTTCCTCAGGCTCTATGGGGCTTGCCCCTGACCCTCACCAGTGCGCACCTCCCCCAACTGCAAATTCGCTTGGAAAAAGATTTTGAAACTTCACTCTCTTTCTTTTATCTTTCTCATGTTGTAAATCTGAAGCCTAACCCAGGCTTCCACACACAGGAGAGTGGAAGATAGCTGCTCAGCCCAACTTTGTCTGACAGCAGCAGTGGATTCCAAAGAGGCTGGGGTAGGAATCCAGAGGATGCAGAGCTGGGTTAAAAGAAAATACTGGGGGAGCGGGACCAGTGTTCTTGCTTTCAACCTTATATTAGGAGTATGAAGCCCAACAGGATTGAGATTGAAAGAGGAGGAGGACCAAGACCATGACAAGGAGGGAGAACCTTGTACTGTGTCTGTACATTATTTGAGCAAAGCAGAAACCAGCCTGTAAACATATGGAGCTCTGAAGTTATCATTATGAAAGCATACAGTAACCAGCCCTTCAGTGGCTCCTCTAGAGACAGAATCAGAGGCAAGGCGCTGCATAGTGGCTGGGAAGACGGAGGCTGCACATCATGAACAACGTCATCATGCTCTGGGTTGTGGGGTCAGCCTTTGGGGCGGCGAAAGCTCCCTCACCAACTCCAGCAGTCAGACCCAGGCCCTTCCCGGAGCTTGGGTTCTGGAGCCAACCTTTCCGGCTTGTCTGGCCCAGCATGGCTGTTTGGCTGGACACAGTTTCCCTGGTCTCTGAGGCCCAGTTCTTCTGCGTTCTCCCACCTTCTAAGGGCACTTGCACACATGTGGCTGTCAGCTAGCCTCTGCCCACGAGGACTTAGGGCAGCCAGACTGGCCAGCCCTAGCTCTGTGCTTTGTCCTGAAGATCCACGCCCTGCCCTACCTTCCTCCTAACACTAATTGCCTGGGAGCTGGTTTGGTTTTGAGAAACAGGAGCCTTGGGTTTCCAAGGGAGCCCATTTCCTCAGCAGCGCTCTCAGCCTGGACCCTGTCATTTTCTGGATGGTTGGCAATTATACCCCAGCTCAGGAAGCGGGGTGGGTAGGGGTGGTGCAACCTGCCTAAATATAGACGCAGTTTCTAGAAAGCCAGGGTGAGAAAGGACATTGACGGATTCTTGCACCAGAGACCAATTCATCAAAACATGAGACAAGCAACTCACAAAAGCATCAAGCGCCTGGGGCCAGGGTCTCGGGCCTGGGACAGGAGGGTGCTTTTTCAGTAGGTAACCCCTGACAGCAGAGACACACCTTGTAAAACCCAAAACTAGAGCCAAATACTAGCTCTGAGCTTTGTCTGCACTGCAGCTCTAGTGTCACAGAAATCCCAGAGCCCAGTCTGGATGCAGATGTCTTACAGAGCTCCCGATAAGAAAGGCCTGCCTGTGTGGTCTGATAATGAGACGCACTGGGCACATTTGTGTGTGGTGACATCAAGGGGTTCTCAGCAGGTGGGTTAAAAAAGAAAAACCAATTTTAAGGGAAGGTAGGTTAGCGCTGGTAAAGAGCGCCGGCCTCTTTTTTGGAGGGCAATTTGGCAATACAGGCATACATTGAGACATCGCAGGTTTGGTTCCAGACCACCGCAATAAAGCCAATATCGCAATAGAGCGTGTCACGCAAACTTTTGGTTTCCCAGTGCATATAAAAGTGATGTTTACACTATATTGTGATCTATTAAGTGTGTAGTAGCATTACATCTACGAAAACAATGAATACAATTTAATTAAAAAATACTTTATCATTAAAAACTGTTAATTATCATCTGACAATGCAGGGTTGCCACAAACCTTCAATTTGTAAAAAACGCAGTATCTGCAAAGTGCAATAAAACAAAGCACAATAAGATGAGGTATGCCTGTATCTACCAATATATAAAGTGCACAGAGCCTTTCACATAGTGAAGCCACTTCCAGGAATTCATCCTGTGGGTAGGGACCTGAGAGCTGGGTTGAGAAGGAGACTTATTTTTCACTTACGTTCCCTTTTGAACTGTCTACATCTTTTTAAAAAAACCATTCACAGGCATTACTTAACCAGACAAAAAACAAAAACAAAACCCCCCACCCTTTATAGCTATTTTAAAAATTTAAATGAAACACAGACTTCGGTTAGATGGATCTGTTTGGGTTTAAACTCTAATGTACAACCTTGCATAAGTTACTTAATCTCCCCATGCCCATGCCTCAGTTTCCACATCTGTAAAATGGAAACAACCCTACAGAGGGGGTTGCTGTAAGGATTAAATAAAGGAAGCAGGACCTGGTACAAAGTAAGCACTAAATAAAGGGAAGGGAGAGAAGCTGGCAGGGAGGGGCAGTGGGAGGGAGTGCTGAAGGGTGGCTGAAGAAAGCAGTGAGAATCCAAGACCCTGGAAGCAAAGAGCACATCTCACACCAACGCCTGGAGTGCCTGGTGTGGGGCTCTGCGGGCAGAGAAACTCGAAACGTACCATTGCTTCATGTATTGTTGCATCTGATGTCTAGACCCACAGTCTTCGTGTGAGTTACAGCGAGCAATGTCCAGTTTCTCTGAGCACCAACCAGGTCTCACAGAGTCCTTGACTGACGTGAAGGTCTCTAGAGCCCCCGGACCAGCACTTTCTTTCTCATACCTGATATCTAACTCCTGTTTGGGGACCTTTAATCAGAGACCCTTGCTGACACATAAAGTCACACATGTTCCAGGTTCCATGATAGAGGAGAGGAAAGGACTGTCCGTTCTCAGAAACTCAGACACTACAAAGGGACAGTGATAATAGGTACCACTTATTGAGAGCCTTCTCTGCCAGTACTTTACATATTCTC